ACTTTTAAGTTCTTTTTAAGAAAGCATCAACTGCTCTGAGGAGTATGCTACTACTAGGCTAGCTGAATGTTTCTTAACAAAACAAAACAAAAAAACACCACACAACACAAAACAAAACACCTTCAAAGCACCTTTACAAGCTACATTCACATTTCCTATTTAGCGAAAAAGAAGCTGAGGTACAAGGATCTTGTCCAGGATCCAGTCTCTGTGTACTATCCTCTTTGCCACAGTGCCTCCCTCCATTTAATAATTGTTAATTTTGATGTGCAATTTATATATATGGTTACTGAAAAATATTTCACTGGTAGGTATATAAGCAAAATAACTTACCACAAGGCTAATCAAAGCATCAAATCACAGCAGTGGTAAAATGAAGTCCACTATCATCGTCTTTCTATTGTGTAAATATGAAAACTTTCAGAATCACTAACTAAAAGCATATACTCCAACAAAATGGATGTTATTGCATCTACTGTTTTCATTCTACTAAATCTACTTTGTTACAGCATTAACTTAGCATAACAAGATCAGGCATTGACTGGCTCAATGCATAAATATATTTAAATATTTCTTTTAGGCTTCTGCAGAGAAAGCCTGGAACTACTTTTTGTTACTATATGTAGCATAATGAATTATGTCTACAGATAAAAAAAAAAAAAGTAATGATATATTTTTTCCAGCATTATGTAAATCTGTGTTTGTTGACACAGAAAACTAATGGTTGCCCATTTCAAACTTTGTATCTTTAAGTTTTCCTAACTATATTCCATCTCTGCTCCTGAACTCGCTGCTGACCATAAAAAGTCCCACTAATCTTAGCAATACTCCAAGTAAACTCAGGAATTTGCCTACAGCCAAGAAAACTGAAGGTCTCTGGAAAAGTCAAAATATGTAATTTCAATATAAGCATTGTATTAATAAAAAAGCATTAATAGTAGTGCCAAATGATGTACTACACTCACTCCATTGTCAGTCACTCCATAACTGGTTTGTGAGCCAAACAAAAAATGAAACCAGCTACATATATTATGTTGTTAGAAATACACAAGCTGGAAAACTATTTGTTTCTCCTATTTTAGCTACAGTACTCTTAGTAATTATATGTAATATAATTACTTTTTTTTGTTTATTTTTTGAGGTACTTATAAACACTTTGTTAAATGCCCAACTAGCTGGTTTGGAAGTTGTGATATTGTGGGAGAATGGATTTATATGAACATCTCTTGGTTTTGCTTACATACCTTAAGTGTTGGATCCAAAATGAGTAAGAATGAAAATTAGACATGAGAGTGGACAACAGCAACATACCTTTGTTTAAAAGTTGCTGAAGTTTTAGGGCAAGTAATTTTTTTATTTATTTTTTTTAACCAACGGAAGCTTCAAAATTATTTGGAATTAACAAATGCTTTTGTCCAGTCTGATGAAGAAAATGTATCATAGACAGACTTGCTTTTACATCTGTAACAAAACATACCTGTCCCAGTCAAAAGTCCAGCACTCTTCTTTCGTGCATAAGCGCGTAAGTGGTTGGACAGGCTAACAGCACTTGTAAACGTCGTATTGCAATGCACACACGTTCTAAGCTTCACAGGCATACCTATCATTCAAAAGAAAACTATAATCCAGTTCTCTCTTCAAAAAAATGAAATTCTCAAAGCGTTGTAAAAAGTTTTCTGTAATAAAGATGGTTTAAAATATATTCACTGCATTGATGCAATTGTTTAGTATATTAGAAGGATTGAAGTTAACCATTATTAGTTTTCCATGTAGTGCTTTAAGCCAAACCTTGTTATTTGAACAGAAAGAAGGCAACTTGAACCCCCTAGGCTACTCTGCATTTAATACCTAATATGAAATTCCTACAGATCTCCACATTATGAAGCTCTATTCCCAAAATACAACCCTACAATTTGAATAGCACAATTCTGTTCAGAAATTTCAGAGCTTGCAACATTTCCAATAAAGAGAATTTTAAAAGTATAGTTGACAAAGTGGTAATTAAAACCCATAAGACTAAAAGGCTCAACGCTAAATTAGGCTGCTGCTGAAGGCTTAGAGAGAGGTGGTAAAACACATCACTGAACAGCTGTTAAACAAAACATTTTGTTCAGTGCATTTTCTATTCATTACTTTAGATGCGCAATCAATAATGAAAGTTAATGATTTGAAGTTTTTTGCTAAAATCTCTGTGCTAAATAAATAATCAACAAAGCAACATGCTACTTATCACAGGAAAACAGTGAAAGTGAAATAATACTGAACTCCTCACTTACCAGACAAAGAAACCATTATAACTTCTCCCTTGCTCAACTTTACCATCATTTTCTCCATTTATTTTACCCAAGATACAGTGTTTTGGTCAACTAATGTTTCCAGTTCTCTGCTGATAAATCATTAAAAGAACAACAACAAAAAAAAGAAGCTACATCTATCCAACTGGAAAGCCTCAGTTTACAGGAAAGGAAGAATCCTATTCTCCAGCAGCCCACAGAAGACATGCTGTTTTTTCAGGCAAGTTACAGAAGAAGAGTATCTGGTTGGTAAAAAAAACAAAAACAACAACAAAAAAAAAAAAAAAAAAAAAAAAAAAAACCAACAACTTTTTCACTCTAAAACCAGGATTAAAAAGATTTGCTTTTTTAAGAAAAACTAAAGTATTTCAACTTGATGTTAAATATTTTCTCATTAACTCAACTGGCACAGTGCATTTGTTAGTTGTCAAATTCCATTACCTCAGCCACAGATAATTATAGGTCCCCATTCATAGCTGTTAGTATTATGCAAGCGCATGTTTGTTTTTACCTGGTTGTTCATCACAACCAAACAGGTTCTATACCTAGTATTCAGCAGTAAATATTAAACAGAAAGCAATACAGTGTCAGATTTGGCAAGCTACTCCTTTAGCATTGTTTTTCAAATAATTAAGCCTGTGAAAGACACACTTCCTTTATTAAACAACCTCCTGTCTTAAAGGACAACCATATACATCCAGAAGACATTAAAGGTAATTCTGTTCCGCCTCTGTCATTTTAGAAAGCCACCTTTGTTAAGAAATTGATTGCCACATTTTCATAGCCCCCTAAAAGAACTTCTGAGCACGCTGGACTTGTTGCTGTTATTTCTTTAAAGGAAGACAAGAGTATATGTGAAAAAGTACTACGCAGTGCCAGTTTTACTAACCTATATTGAGTAATAACAAGAAAACCAAAAGAACTGAAAAAGTCATGGGTATAAAACTAAGATCTTACTCCTCAGTTTAAAGAATCCTGCAGCATTATAAGGTGTTGTCCAAATAAGAAATATATAAATGCAAGCTCTACATACACATTAAAAAGGATCCTGCACGAATTCCTCAAGACTAGAAATAGCTCTGACAATTAAAAACATTCTAAAAAAATGAACACATTAGTATAGATTGTCTAGAAAGTCAATTATAGAATTGTTTCATTAGCACAATTCTCAGCGGATGGGGACATCTTTGTCCATATCAGTCAGGGGCTGCATATTAGAACCCTGCTGACTACAGCTGCATTCCAACAAAGCTTAAACTAGCACACATCTTCACTCAGGATAGACAGGCCCTAAGCAAGCATGAGTTTCCCCCAGCAGCCACGATTTTAAACCAAACAAGAATTAATCTATGGTGCAAGAGTCTGTTTGCCTAAGATATCAAAATTAGTCAATAGATATTAATCAGCTTAAAATATTATGTGCTTAAAATGTCATTAACAATTCTGTCGGTTTGAACAAATGCCGCTTTGCACAAGTCTCGAACATTTAAATGAAACAGCTTGCAAACCAGCAGTTTTAAAGCCCAGAAACAGGGTCCAAGCCCAAACACTTCAGAACTGTTAAGTCTGCCAAATACCTCAACTTACTGATGGTCTAGGATGTGTCTTCTTCCTTACTGAGGTTCATTTTGTTCCCACTTTGGATTGGTAAACTCAAACATATGCAGAAAAGGAGCTACATTCCATGCAAAAAAAAACAAACAAACAAACAAAAGAAACCAACAACCCTCAGTGCTGCTGAATATTCACTTAAGAAAAAACATGCAAGAAAAATTTGCTGTGCTACCTCTCATGGTCAGCATCCTCTGGAAATGAAATAATCAAATGAACAGAATCCCCCTACAAAGTACTATGTACTTGTATGTTTTCTGTGAATTAATGTGTTCTTTGGAAATGTTGTCAAGACAGCGAGAAACATCATCTTACCTGACTGCATAGTCAAGTCCATTTTTTGTGGCTGATACATCAATGGACTGTCTTCATTTAATGGAAGAACACATTTCTGAACAAACCTCTTTCTCGCAGTTTGATTATGAATCTTTTGAGGAGAAATATCAGGATTCCTTTCTTCTCCTAACCTTTTATTTTTCAGAAGTTCTATCAGTGTAAGTGACTGATTTTTTTTTTCATCATGTAGTACTGCTTTTGTTTCATCACATTCATTTAGGAAACTCAGCCCTTCTTCCTCCGATGCAGACACAGATGTATCTTCAGTCTTTAGGCCATTATGGTATGCTTCAAGAGGTATAACATTCTGAGATAAGAAGTCATCATTTGATGCAAATTTCTGAGCAACAAACGGTCTGGGAATAATGCGGCGACTATTCAAAGCCTTTAGAATTTTTTCATACTTCTCTTCGTTTTGCATCATCTCATTCAGAACACAGATCGGAGACTTGTGAGCATCCCACTTGGTTTTGCCAAGCCTCTTCAGGTGTCCGCGCACATGATTTGATAATCCAATTTTAGTATCAAACCAGCCTCCACAGAGCTGACACGTATGCTCAGAGGAAGTTTCAGATTTCTCAATTGCTATAAAGAAAATAATTTTCATGTATTTTGACAATTATGTACTGTTAAATATTACTACGGCAAATCATAAGAACAGGCTTTACAACAAAATGAAGCAAGTCTTGTTTATTGTTCAACTTAGCATCTTTGTCCCCTCTAATTTACACCCAAATTAAATAAAAAAGAAACACATACCTTTTCTAACACGCTTAACAGGAGTTCCTGTTCCAGTTCTTTTAAAATGTTGCATTTTGTCACTCGTTGCTATCTGTTCTGGTGAAACAACATGACGGGCTTCATAGCTCAATCCAGCTCTGTGAAGATGCCCTCTGACATGATTGGACAATCCAACACCTGTTTCAAAGGTTGCTGGGCAGTATGGGCAGGACTTCTTTTCAAGCGACAAATCAGTCCAATGGAAAACTGAATTATGTTTTGGCAATGCTGATCCTACATTTTCTAAATTCTGAGGATCATGCAGCTCACGGAGGAAGTTACTACCCTCAGCATCTTCATAATATTCAAAATAAAAGCCATCATTCTGCTCGTAACTAAGCGAAGATTTATCAACAGCTTCATGATCTTCTATTTTACCTTTGAATATAGGGAATAGGCTTACATGTTCCTGATTAATATCACTGTAAGATTCATCCTCCACAGAGTGTGTAGTGTAATCACATAGTTCAACATTATCCCATGAACTTTCATCCTCCGTTTCATAGCTGTCTTTTTTTTCAGCAGAGTTAAGTTTCTGTAAAACAACAACAGTCATTTTATGCAGAAAATCTGGATAGCAATCCAAATCATTTCCTGTAACAGAGCCTTCCCTCTTGGATTCTTTAACCACTCTTTTTACAGCTACATGCCTATGACCTTTATAGCCTTTTGCCCTTTTGCAATCAAGATTATTTGAATCCATGACAAAACAATTATTATGGGGACTTCTACATAAAGAACTGACACAGTTGGACTCTTCCTTTTTTAAATGCAAAGGATAAGAGTCACTAGATTTTTTAATCATCCTGTAGTTTTCATATTTGTGTCTATATAAATAATTATTGCTTGTTTTGACACTAGCTTTCTGCTTTGCTGCTTGATGAAAATATTTAGGTTTCTGGTCAATGCTATTTCTAATCAAAAAGGTCTTGTTTGTAGAATTTAGATTGCACACACTTACAGATGACTGTGAAACGCTTTTCCGGGCCTTCTGTATCCTGTAGGGTCTCTTGTGAAGTTTGGTGAAGTTACTGGACTGTGAAGTAGAGCCAAAAGATCTTTTTACATCCTGTTTTAAAACTGAGTTCTTTGGAAATGTAGAAGATTGTTTCATCAACTGTTTTGTCCTGCTACCAAAATCTAAAGATTCTTCTATAATGCTGCCTTTCCTCTTTTCTAGTCTAAGATGGCTACGAAAGGGATCGATGCAAGATGTTGGATGCAGGTATTCCATGTGTTTTTTTAAAATGCTTCTAGCCGAAGTTGTAAATGGACACATCTTACACATGTATGTTGCTGACTTCTTTGAGGATCCTAAATATGGATCTTTCATGGATGCCTTTTTCTGTGATTTCCTCTGGGACATGTCACTACCAATAATGGAACATTTGACTACTGCTCCATGAGCAATCCCTCGATGGCATTCAAGTTCATTTTCTGTCACAGCCATGAAATTGCATTCCTCACAGCAATAGTATCTTTTATCTTTTTCATGGGTCTTTGCATGCTGCACAAATGTTTTGGGACAATTAGTACCAAATACACATTGGGGACACTGTAACCGTGCACTCCTACCCTCATCCTGAAGTTCTTTAAGCTCACGGATTTCTTCCATCAGTTTCTGCCTTCTTTCCTGGTGAATTATCATATGTTTAAGAAGTGAATTACGATCTCGAAATGTCCTTCCACATTCCCTACATGCATAGGGCCGCGGGACATTGAGATGTCGGAAATGGCTGTTCCCATCTAAATGGTACATCATATGCCTATGCAGATGTTTTTTCTCCCTAAAATTCACATTGCACTTTGTACAGGGATAAAATGATGGTTCATCGGTACTGAAAGTAGATGGTGATTCAGAATCATTCTGTTCACATTTATTTTTTAAAGTATTGGAAAGAAAAGTGCTAGTGTGAACAGGAGAAGCATCTTCTGCACAGCTACCAGTGGGACTATAAATGAGTTGTTGGATAGCATCAACAGCTTCCAGCTCTTCATCTGTGGATTCAGGCTTTACTTTATTCAATGAATATTGTTGTGGTTCTACCATTTGTAGCTCTTCATTCTGTTCTAAGAAGTCAACACTTAGCAGTTTTGATTTACTAGGAATATAACCTGTATCACCAAAACAGTCTTCAGTATAGCGTGTTATTTTACTAACGTCCATTTTTCTTTTTCTCTTTTTTTCTAAACCTACTTTACAGTGAATTGGAGACTTCTCTATTGTTTCTTCATTTGTCATAAGAAACTGTATAAACTCTTTCTGTGGATCCCAGCTGGGATCACATGTCGATCTGAAACCACCTGTACCTGAGGAAATGCCTGTTAATGTATCAACACAATCATCTTTTACCAGTAAATTTTTATCATCCTCACAAACTTCTACTTGGCCTACTAAAGTGCTATCTACACTATTACCTACTGATTTCTGTGAATCACAACCAATTGAAGCAGAGGTAGGTAGATTTTTAATGGAATGAGTCACGTTCTTAGCATGCGCTACATCAGGTAACAAAAATAAAACTTGGTGCTGATTTGATTTTTGTGTTGTACTCTTTGCAGGCAGCTGAAGGTCTTGAACCACTGTCAAAGTTGAGCAGGAATCTGTATGATGACCTACAGGCTGTCCAGTGGTTAATGAAACACTGCCTTTATTCATAATGGAAGTCTTAGTTGAGGTGGAGTGTGAAACTGGTCCATTAACAGCAGTTCCTCTAGACAAGATAAAGTTTTCACTAGAAACAGTAGGAGCACCAGTGTGTATAAATAGAGAAGTCTGGCCTCCACTTAAGGCTTTTTCAGATAAGTCCCTTGATAGCTCCCCAGGCAGAGTCAGTGTATTGTTCTTCTGAAATGACGTGTCACTCTCTTGTGATTTAGGAATGCCACCTTCTTCCTCAGATATGAAATTATCACCACACAGAATTTCTTCTTCTTCTTTAGCACCAGTGACTTCAGTATTTATCTCTAAGTCATCCATGTTGCTGGTCTGTCCATTAAGCACATTTAGACTGAAACAAAAAAAAAAGAAAAAAGAAAAGAATCAGGCAATCACAGAAATAAAGTGTCAATTTTAATTTACAATATTTTCCAGGAACAGCCTTCTTCACACTGCAATCAGAAAAAAATAAGTTTTGAATAAGAACATGCATTTTTAACAAGTTTAAGATATTCAAGACATGTTTAAAATTTATAAATGAAGCAATCAAAAACTATACATTTTTTGCTATGCTACATTACCTACAAAAATACAAAACACCTACAAGCAAGATGGGAAAAAAATGTGATTAACAAAAACTGAGCATTCTACATGCACAGTAACATGAACCCAGAGTTTATCTTTAGTTGCTTTCTAGAGGCAAAACAAGTTAGCAGTAAAAGCTATCCAGACATCTGCTAGTTATTTCAGTGACTTTTTTTTAAACCATACTTCCATTTAGCACCTAGGAAATAAACTAATTTTTACGTATCTCAAGGTATCACTTTTTTCAATTTGTTTGTATACAACTGACATGATGATACACACAAGCTTGTAGAGTGTTTAATTTGGTATTAATTGAGAAAACACATAACAAGCCCAATTTTGAACATATGATTACTGATGGAAACGACAAAGAATCTAGAGTTAATCAAATTAGAGTTGTGCTAAAAGGAGTCATTACCTAGACTTTTTGAATTAAAATGTTATTAACTCACAACAAATATCCATGGCTCCCTGCAATGGTCCTTTATTGAAATCAAGGAAGACCATGCTTAACATCCTTTTTTCCTAAAGAGAGAAAACAAGCTGATTAAAGGATACCATTTTCATTTTTTTACATCACACATCAAAATGAGTTTAGAATTTCAGTTCAACATCATGACAGTTATCCATACAATCCAAAGCTAGCTATCACTTAATGGAAATTCTCTGCTACTGCTTTTGTTTCAAATCAGCAAAAAGACAAAAATAAAATAATTTCACCTTCTAAAAGCTTGTAAGAAACAAACCTTAATATGCCATGACTTTTTTTTTTTTTTTTTTTAACTGTTTGGAAGAAAAATAAGCTGTATTTGGAGTACAAATATAATGGAAAAAACTTATTGCAAGAAGTTAAAACATTATTTTCTTTGCTATCCAATTACTGAATTACCCAATTTAGAAATATGGTTTTATTCTATGCCAGCTATGTAATAAATATTTAATATATAAGAAACAACACTATTTTATTACGTTAGTTATAACATGCCCTTATGCAAATGTTCTACTAGAAAGGCCACATATTCAGCTTCCCATTTCTTCTGAATTTCTGAATTTCTTTGCTGTTTTCAGATGGGTCAGTTTCTACCACAATGAAGACCTCTATTAAGATCATATTCAGAGCTTTCACTATAAAATGGTGATAATGCACCACACAGCAGGTGTCTTTACATCACATACACAAGTTGGAAATTGGCAGTGCAAGCCTGCACTAAAAATCAGTAAAGCGAAATTTATAGGAGGGAAAGCTCCAAGAATACACAACTACTCCAGTAATTTTATCACTGAGTAATGTAAGCTTCATATAATATTAGCAATGGAGTATAAAAATGTTCACAAAAAATTTAGAAGAAATATAGTAAAGTCAGTTTTGCCTGCAAGATGGAGCATTTTCCCTGTTTTGCTACTGCAGAAGTAGACAAACGTATGCTCAGTCAATTTGAGAGCCTATATTAGCTTTTCTCAACAGGAAGCAATGTCGCTAACGAAGTGGTAAATTCAGTGTTAATGAGTGGCTTCACTGTTACCACCTGTGAGGTAAAATCTTCCATGTTCCAAGTTCCACCCATCTGTTCTGGTGTTAGGGGTTCAGAAGAAGAACAGACGCTTCCCATTTAAAGCAACCTCATTGGTACCCCCTGAACAGCAGGGAGGCAAACTGAGAACATCGTGCCTGTTTGGAGATTGCAACCCTCATTATCAGAATGGCTCCTGAAAACTTTTCACAGGTTCATGTGATGAAGACAAAATCATGTTGCTCCACATACAAAAAAACATATGTTGACTTTAAATATTAGTGTTAAAGCTTGAGCTAAAACAAGGTGGATAGGGCACCACACAACCACCTTGAACTTGAGAGTCCCTTCAAAACTATCCTGAACAAGAAACATTACATCGTGCAATCATAAGAGACTCATTTCCATATTGTGTATTTATGGAGATTGTGAACTATTCCATATGGATCTGATTAGAAGACTTCTATGGTAATACAGCTGTCCCTACAGATTTCAGGCTTTGAATTAAGCCTGAAATGCTTATCATATTGATAATATCACTGTTATATTTTAATCATTTTCTGCTAATTATCTTCCCCCCTCCCCCGCCCCCCCCCCCCCCGCCCAGCTACCAGAGTGGTACAATTCACTATTATACACCCAGGACAAACGCAAAGAAGTTCTAACAGTGTGGTCCTAAAGAAAACATACAAAAAATAGTGTTAAGTAACATTAATTTAGAGTATTGTGATAACAGTGAGCCACATGCAATTCAAGTGCAGAAAATTACTCCGTGGCAATGATTCCACACAATACCATCATTTTGGAGGAAATCATTAACTTGTACCACATTCAGGAAGCCTACCACCCAAACTGAAACACTACCTAAACGTGAACATATTGGGAGGAAAAAAAAAAAGCAGAAAGAAAATCAAAGCTACTAGCTACTAGCATTTAATCAAGGCTATAAAATATTCTTTGCATATTTCCATCACTGTTTTGTAAGTATTGTTTTCTATACCACATCACAGATGCACACAATATTAATTCTCTTGAAATGCATGGTAAATAAACCCTTAATGTAGTTGAAAAAATAAACTTCAAGTTTAAACTTGAAATTTAGTATTGCAAATAGTGTTTGTTATAACTGTATGGTGTTTGCCCTGGTGAGTTACATAGTGCTTACATTGGAGATAAGTACAGAAGAGCAATGCTCAAAAAGCCTAGCCTACATAAACATGCACAATTCCAGGCTCATACTATTGAAACACTTTACCTAGAAGGCCAAATTCTATTCAATTATTTTAGCTAAACCTGGAATCAGTCACACAGTAAACAGTTATTTTTAATTTACATGATACATTGTTTATTATAGCGGAATTATTTCATATTCAAGAGTAAAACCCAACCAATTATTTAGCCAACTTCCACCCTGACTTAATTAACTACTTTTCAATTTACATATTAATTTTTAAAATACTGTTTTTCTTCATAAAATATCAGTTTCAAATCATAATGAGTTCTGCAGATATGACTGCCTGTGGCTAGATACCCTAAGCATTAAAAAAGTGTAAGGTCAGATCTGTCTTCAAGATGACAGATCATCATTTAAATGCCTTAAGCTAATCTTATTGTCTCAAAAATCTTGAACATCAGTATTTTTGCAAACTATCAGCACTTGCTATAACACCTTTACTACACTACATCTTGAGGTTACTACAGAAAAAATGAGGTGATAATTGCATATTAACATAATTATTCGGTAATCCCTCTCAGCAAGCTTCTCAGGTCACTCAGTAATTCAGATTAGATGCAACCTTCTTGTCATCAGATCTATGCTGTCCACTTTCTGTTCATTAATAATTCTTTTTGATAGGAACGTACTTAATTCCACTGTTCTATGTACATTATTAACTGTATTTATTAAAAGTAGGTTCATGACATTTCCAGGTTCCTGTTTCATAATGACAACCTTTGCTACGTAGTAGTGTCACACACCAAATTTTATGCCTTCATGCAATACTAGTTCATTAAAGCTTACACTCCAACACTGTGCTGTCGCCTACTAGCAGTTATAGCTAGATGTTTGTCAATTTCTGTTACAAAAAAAAAAAAAACACCTTATGTTATGTGGATTTACAACAGATTTGAGAGCACACAGGAGGTGAAAAATTAAGATGGAAAAAATTGACTGAGTTTGTGAAAAGCATGAAGTGTTTTTATGTATTTTGATACCAAGTTTCATAGTCACAGTGACTATTAAATGGCACAAAAACTTAAAACCCATCTCCCAAATAGACTGAATTTACTCAGCCTAATTAAATTAACTAAAGAAACAAATTATTTCAACAGTATTGTAATGAAGGCGAAAAGCTCTGTTTGTCCTGTGCCAAGTAATTTGTCGTAAATGAAGTTCTTTAAGCAGATATGTGAATAACCAGGGCACTCACGATTATTAAAGAGATAGGAAAGGTGTTTCATGCTTGCACTGATTCCATTTAATTTATTTCTTCAAGACTTTGCTATGTAAAGAGAGAAAACTAACAAACCCCATCTCTTTATCCACAAGCATTCCTGTAATAAAGCTTTTTCAAATGACAGAAGATACAAAAAATGATGGAACCAGTCACAGATTTTTGAGCAACAAGCGGCAGACCTGAGAGCTTGTACGTTGTGGCACCAGACTGAAGCAGAAGCTCCTTCCATTTTGCCTAATTTGCAGTCTATTCCTATATTAACTTAGTTATGATCCATGTCACACATTCTGTCAAAAGTGAAATGTTTAAGAACCTTTGGAAAATGAAGGATTATGCAGAGTAAGTTTTACCCAGGTCAACTGAAGGAGTGGGGTGAGAAATCCAAAATCCTTGCCTCCCAAATAACTAAGTGTATTAGTATAAACTAGCTGCACCTTCAGGGAAAAGTCATCTGTTTGGAGAGCATCTTTTTACGTGGGCAGATAGTGACAAGACAAGGGAGAATGGCTTTAAACTAAAAGAGGGGAAATTTAGATGAAAGGTTAGGAGGAAATTTTTCACACAGAGGGTGGTGAGGCACTGGAACAGGTTGCCCAAAGAAGCTGTGACGTCCCATCCCTGGAGGTGTTCAAGGCTGGGCTGGATGAGGCCCTGGGCAACCTGGTCCGGTGGCAGGTGTCCATGCTCAAGGCAGGGGTTGGAACTGGGTGGTCTTGTAGTTTCAATCTAACCCAAGCCATTCTATGATCTTACTTAGCGAATATCTGGACAATATTTTTGCCTCTTCCATACAGTAATTCACACTCTTCATACCTAGTGAGTTTTGGGTGTTATCTAACAAGATCAACATCCAAAGCTAGTATGATTATGGTACTGTAATAGTTAGAAAAATACATATTACTAGTTTCCCTCTTTATCTAAAAGCTATCTTGATCCACCCTCAGATGGAAATAGAGCTATAAAGCCTGACAACCAAAGGTCAAGTCAGTGACTCACCTTGCCTTTCTCCAGCATGTTCGCAAATTAAGTTGTTGAAAATACATTCCATTCTCCACAGCACAGGTGGATTATTCTTAGATTTCCTTACTTAACTTTGAAACCTACAAATTCATCTGAACACTTCTGGAACTTAACTTCTGCAGCAAACAGAGGGCTAGTTTAGTATGCACAGCACTTATAAATGCTGCCCTCCCACACCTACTCTACACGCAAGCATATGATTATAAATCTAACTAGTCTGAGCAGTTCTACTGAAAATTAAGCTTTTCTGATTCCAATGTTTACATGAAAACATAAACATCATAAAGTTCCCATAGCTAATGAGACTCCTGTATTAGGTAATTTTCAAAGCAGCAAGAAAATACTCCAACGCAAAACTAAGAATACAAAAGTTGCCACCATCCACAGTAATGACAATACTACAACCTATTATGCATTTTAATATTTATTTTTAAACTGCACAAATTGCTCCCAATTCCTTAAAAAAGGTAGGAACAAGAAATTATGTAAACCAAGATGTAAAATTCAAAATGAAATTCACCAAGATGTCATATTGCTG